AGAGAGATAGATATATATATAGATATATAGATATATATATGTATATATATATATATATATATATATATATATATATATATATATATATATATATATATATATATATATATATATAAATATATATACATATATATATATATATATATATATATATATATATATATATATATATATATATATATATATATATATATATATATATATATATATATATATATGTATATATATATATATATATATAACTTTCAACACTAATTAGCGATTGCTTGCAGCCTTGTTGGAAGCGAAGATATTAGAATATATATATATATATATATATATATATATATATATATATATATATATATATATATATATATATATATATATATATATATAACTTTCAACACTAATTAGCGATTGCTTGCAGCCTTGTTGGAAGGGAAGATATTAGAATATATATATATATATATATATATATATATATATATATTATATATATATATGTATATACAGGCTTGGTCGGGAAGCGGGAACGATCGCTCTCGAATACTGACCACGGAAATTATATTTAGTTGCGAAAAACTGGCCAGGTTTTTTAGTTGTTTTGAGAACATTTAATTTTTCGTACAAAACAATAAATTTTGGTTTTACGGACAAACATGGAAACATAAAAAACTTGAATGTTCTTAAAGCTGAAGAATGAAAAGAATATTCGCGAACTCTAAAAATCTGCCAAATTAACGAACAAACCAATTCTATTGGTTAAAAAATACACTGACTGAGCCAAATAAAGTTTAGAGTATTATGTTGAAATGTTGTAGAAATTGTTTTATTCATGATTTGTTATGTTTTGAGATTTCTAGCATGGATTGTTATAAGAATATATTATTAATTCTATCGCTCATTCGCGGAGCAACATCTGCATAGCCGTAAATCTTATAAACTATTATTTTCTAGATTTTGGTTCACTAAATAGATATAAGTTTCTAGATATTGGTTCACTATATCGAATTATTTTCAATTAAGTTGCCATTTTTAAAAACTTGTTATACTTTTTTCTGCTTTATATACTAATTAAAATTAAAAAGCCCACTCACTAAACATCATTAGCGATATTATGAAACACTTTCGCTTCCTCGTCATAAAAGTATTTATAACTTCTTAGTTGATTTCTATCTAGTAAATTTAATTTCTTTAGTAATTCAATGATTTAATTATTTAATTTGTTTTTCTTACTAAAAAGAATTGTTTCAAATATGTTAAACTTTTCAAACTACGCGAAACATAGAATAGGTATTAAACTTTTTTATTTATAAAATAATTTAGCTCAGAAAAAATTAAAACTTGCAAACTTTGATAAATAAAGAACATTTTTAAGTAAACGTAAGATGTTACTTGATATAAAAAACGTCGCTTAATTTTATAAAAAAATTGTAAAAGAGCGCTGTTTCGTAAATATTTGTTCTAAACGTAATTTATTTTCTTCAGTTATTTTCTTTAGTTATTTTCTTGTTTTTTTGCGTTAAAAGATATTTTATTTTTCTAATTTTTTTTTTTTTGTAATTGTCTCTCATCGGTCCAATTAATCTTAGCATTTTTTTTTTGCTTTTTTAAAATGTTCTCAAAACGACTAAAAAATCTGGCCAGGTTTTCGCAACTAAATATTATTTCCGTGGTCAGCAATCGAGAGCGATCGCTCCCGCTTCCCGACCAAGCCTGTATATATATATATATATATATATATATATATATATATATATATATATATATATATATATATATATATATATATATATATATATATATCAGGGCCTATTCTAGGAAACAAATTTGGGCAGCTATACCCCCTTGTTTCAACAGCCTTTAGCAGTAAATCAGCGTTTTTTTTGGTGAGAAAAACAATATTTTTTTGCGATTTTTACTCTAATTGATTCCATAATAACAATTAAACTGCCACAAAATTTTCTGAGTACTTTAATGCAACTTAATAAAAGGCAATCATTGAAAAAAATATTCAGATTACAGGCTTGGTCGGGAAGCGGGAGCGATCTCTCTCGAATACTGACCACGGAAATTATATTTAGTTGCGTAAAACTGGCCAGGTTTTTTAGTCGTTTTGAGAACATTCAAGTTTATGTACGAAACAAAAAATTTTTGTTTTACAGACATACATGGAAACATATAAAAATTGAATGTTCTCAAAACATCTTTGCGCGAAAGAATAAAAAGAATATTTGCGAACACTAAAAACCTGCCAAATTAACAAACATACTAATTCTATTGGTTCAAAAATACGCTGATTAAGTGAAATAAAGTTCTAGAGTATTCTGTTAAAATGTTTAAGAAATTGTATTATTCACGATTTGTTACGTTTTGAGATTTTTAGCATTGTTTTAAGAATATATATTATTTGTTTACGAAAATAAATGTTTTAAATATATATTAATTAAATTGTTAAAATTTTAAAAGTTTATTATAAATCATAGATTTTATTAGTATATTCTTATTTTTTTATTTTAAAAGAGATTGTATTTTTTATGTAAATGTAATTTTGTGTATTTGTTTTTATCGTAATGTATCTTTTAAAGCAATTTTTATGATATAAACAAAGACTTACAAAAATAATTGTGTTTTCAATGAAGTTATAATCGTTAAAATTAATATAACTAATTATGTAACAAACATATAAGAAGTTTCTGGTTTCTAAACGCAAACAACGCATACAAAGTAACTCGCGGATGAACAAGCGAGTTAATTTCACAATTAATTTCACAGACTTAAATTAATGCCAAAACATAAGTACTTTTAAATTTTTTTTTACTATATATGTTTGTGTTCTGTCGTGACCTGTGGTCACGACAGAACACAAACATATATAGCAAATATTTAAATATAAAAAAAAATTTCTAGATATTGGTTAATACTAATTAAAATTTAAAAGCCCACTCACTAAACGTCATTAGCGATATTGTGAAGCAGTTTCGCTTCCTGATCATTAAGTATTTTTAACCTTTTTAGTTGATTTCTATCTTGATAATATAATTCTTATAGTAATTCAATGATTTAATTATTTCATTTGTTTATCTTACTAAGAAGAATCGCTTCAAATATGTTAAACTTTTCAAACTACGCGAAACATAAAATAGGTATTAAAAAATTAACTTTTTTATTTATAAAATAAATTAAGCTTAAGTAAAACTAAAACTTGCAAACTTAAATAAAGAATATTTGTTTCCCTTTTAAACAATCATTTAAGTTGATGGTTGTATGTTTCTATAAAAAGTTGATGTTTCTATGAAAAACATCGCTTAATTTTATAAAAAAAATTATAAAAGAGCGATGTTTCGAAAATATTTGTTTTAAATGTAATTTATTTAGCTTTAATTTTTTTCGCGTTTAAAGATATTTTATTTGCCTTTTTTTTTTGTAATTGTCTCTCATCGGTCCAATCAATCTTTTTTTTTCGCTTTTTTAAATGTCCTCAAAACGACTAACAAATCTGGCCAGCTTTTCGCAACTAAATATTACTTACGTGGTCAGCAATCGAGAGCGATCGCTCCCACTTCCCGACCAAGCCTGAGATTAGAGTTTAAGGCAAAATGAGTACAGAAGCTATCAAAAAATAAGTACAAACCGTTTTATCATGGAAATATAATTTCTAATTGAAAAAAGTACTTATGTTTTGGCATTAATTTAAGTCTGTGAAATTAATTGTTTTTCATATTGAATATGTGTTTTTTTATAATAAATAAAAAACTAATGATCGCAAATTTATTTTGAAAAAAATTGTTGTAATATGCAAGCTTTTAAAAATTAAGTAATATATTCGTTTTGAAAAATCTTAATCAAATGGAAACGCTTGCATAAGGAAAATTAAAGAAACGTGATGTTTGTTTTTCCATCTGAAATTTAAGAAATGCGCGCACGTTTGTCGATTTGTCGCACTCTGTATCCATTCAATTCTTTAATAAAATTTTGAACTTGCACCACAAAAGTTTATTAAATTTTATGGCACTTTTAAACAGCCTAAGTTATTTACTTTTTTAAACATCAATTTCTAAAAAAATAAATAAAAAATCTGAGGGGAGGGGGGACCTTTCCCTCACAATGGATTTGTCCTTGTATTAGCCTATTTATTCACGGGAAGGAATGATAAAGATTATTAGAGCTGTAATAATTTTTTTTTTACTTCGGCTCACAATTAAGTTTACATTAATTAAGAAATGTTTTGATTTTTTTTCTTCTGGTTTTTCCTTTATTTTATCATTCTTTAAATATTTTATTTTTTTAGGTTAATTTTTGTAATATATATTATTTTAAGCATTTTTATTCTCTTTTCAGTTTATGGATTGTTTATTTTAATTTTAATTTGCTTTGCTTTTCTTTAGCGCATTTTTTAAACGTGCTAATTATAAAAACTTTCATATTGCCAATCAGCTTATGTAGCAAATAAAAGTTTTAAACTGTTCTCTAGTTAGAACTAAATGGGTTTGACTGTTTTTAATTGTTCAAATTAGATTTATATTAAGAAAGTTTATATTTTTTCAGGTTAATCTGCAGTTAAGCAGCGTAAAATAGTCTTATTTTATTGCTTGTTGCAAGACTTGCACAAAGTAGTGATTTTTTAATATAAACACGGAATATTTGTTGGCTTCAGTACATACATCAACCATCTTATAGCCTGCTGCTACAAGGGAGCGTTGCTACATCAACTATCTTATAGTCTGCTGATACAATCGACTGAGGGTTTGGCATGGGGCAGTAATCTTTTTTTTTTTATTGTTTCAATTATTGTTGCCAATGATTAAAAAACCTCCACTGATGAGTGAAAAAATAAAATTATTTTATGCCATTTAACTGCAGACTTACCTTTTTCAAATTTTTATAAGGTAAAAAGACTGAAACTCCATCATACAATTGACATTTAAAAAATTTAAATTATGTAAATATAATATTATTTAAAATATAGCTTGTGAAAATTTGAAAAAAAAGTAAATTAAAAATCAGAAAACATAAACCTTTATTCTTTTTTTTCTTTTTTTTTTTTTTATTCAGCTGTTCCTGAACTGGTTTACCATCTGTATTTTGAATGATTGTTTGATTCTCTCGTAGTGTTACAACTTCAGAATTTCTGATAACATCATCAACTGCCATGATAAGCTTCAAACAGTTCTTTATTAAGCAATTCTAAACTTATGATATAGTTTAATATATTTAACAATGATTCAAAAATTTAACTCAAAATATTATTTTTATTGAAATTTCATTTTATTAGTATTTAAAGGGCAATTTATAAATTAAGTAAGAAATTAATTTTAAATAAAATAACGAAATGAATCAAATTTTACAACTTACAAATATATTTTGATAAACCTTTTCTAATATTTGAATTTTCCTTTTTGTATTAAATATAATAGTTATAATTTGAATTTATTACTTTTTACAACTATAACTGTTGAAAATTTATTTAAACAATATTTATTTAAAAGCCATTATAAAAATTAAATAAGAATTTAATGTTTATTAAAAAAATAAAATGAATCAAACTTTTTAGCTTAGAAATATATTTTGATAATTTTTTTTATATTTGAATTATCTTTTGTATAATAAATTTTGTATAATAAATTTAACTATTATAGGCATTTACTACTCATTATAAAAATCTACATACTACATTTACATTGAGTAAAATAATTTAAAATAAAATTTATATACATATATGTATATATTCATATAAATATATATATATATTTATATATTTATATATATATATATATATATATATATATATATATATATATATATATATATATATATATATATATATATATATATATAATATTGTATGATATTTTGTATTTGCAATAAAATACAAAAAACTCTTGTACGTATAAGAGTGCTCAATAATAAATAAATAGGATATAAATATATATATATATATATATATATATATATATATATATATATATATATATATATATATATATATATATATATATATATATATATATATATATATATGCATATATATATATATACATTATGTGTGTGTATGTCAGGGGCGGATGCACCTTTATTTTGTGCTAAGACATGCTAACTTCCAAACATGAAGCTAACTTAAAATGTTCATTACTTTTTTAAAAATAACATAACGATGCTTGGCCAAAAATTGTGTTTAGAGGCCTGTGAACTAATAATAAATGTCAAAATTCGAGAAAAAAAGAGACAGGAGAAAAGCTTTTACGTTAAAAGTTCTTTTATGTAAAAGGCGTTAGGTCGGGGGGGGGGGAGGGCTTTTTGAAGCGTTTTGTTCAGAGTTTTAAAGTATCTTTTTTTAACATAAGTATAAATTACATTTTTGGAGTTGGCTCTTTTTTTTGGTCACGGTTTTTTTTATGGAACTGCAAACACAAAATAATAGTTTAACCTAGGGGCCTAGGGGAGGACGTCAAAAAAAGCACTATACGCCAAATTATCAAAGACTCCGCTGTGCAAATAAAAAAAATCAAGCGATGGGAGAGAGGTGGGTTAAGTAAAAGTTATTTATTATTTTAATTTATTAATGTTACATTACGTTTATATATTATATTAGTATAACTTTTCTTAATGCGAAAACCATTCAAAGTTTAGTTAGTTTCCATAATGTTGTTTTAGCAGTTGTTGTTGTTTTTTTTTGTTTTTTTTAGGTTATTTTAGGTGCTCCCAGAAGTCCTTACGGTCTTATCACGGAGTACCGCGGAAGAGCATTTAACAAGAAGTTCACGCCTCCTTCCTTACCGATGTCGCATATTTGGGCTAGAGCCGGCGTCGAACCACGAACCTCTGGGTTCTTAGCCAAAACTCTACCAACTGCTCAATGCAACTAAGGCATAGAACAAAAAAACTCGTAAAAAAAAACAACGATAATTTAAAACAAATCCGATTGGTTGTTAGTGCAAACCGAAAAACTTTTTATTTATTGGTATTTAATTTGTGCAAGCAAGTTAAAATAATCTTTCCATACATACCAAATATGTCATACTTTTTGATGAAAAAACATATATTATAATTGAAAAAAACTTATATTTTTGTTAGGAAAAACGTGTACCAGACCTTAGTTGCATCAAGGACGTATTAATAGATGGACGTTTAACGTATCAAGATATCCGCGCTATTTATTGTTACAAATAACAATAGCAAAACAATAGAGAACTATTTTTAACTTGAGAATATTTTTACTTGATTTTACGTCAAAATAACGATAGTCTCGTCTAGCCCTTAGAAATATCTAAACATTCCATTACACCTAAAAACTCTAAAAAGTTTTTAAAGAAATAAAACCTTTCATTATATGATCTATAAACTCAAGCGAAATCTTTACATGGAAAAAAAAAATAATCACAGAAAAATATTAAAACAAAAATGTAAGTGAGGCAAAATTTCCGACAAATATGAGAAATTTTAATACTTAAAATAATAGTGAAAACTAAGTGTAGGGAATAGAGACCACAAGTGATCTATAGTTCGATCTATATATGATCTACAGTTTTAACTACAACATCTAGAAAACTTGTTTCACTTTGCAGTATTCATTCTTGCAAACTAAATATCACTTTTTTACAAAAATATGATTTTTGACGTCTAAGTTTTATTAATAAGTTCTTATTAAAAAGCGCTCGCGTATCAAATTTGACATTTTAAAACAGATAAGCTATTTCTGATTATTTAAAATGCATTAATTTTTTAAAAAAGTTAGAGTTTTGTTGGCAATTGCACTTTTTAAAAAAAGTAGTTAAAAAAGGGAAATTATCGGAAAAACGTCGGTTTACTTTTATAAATTATTCAGAAAAATGACGCTAAAAATCATAGCTCGCATAGGTTTTTGTTTACTTGCGGCGCCTCAGATCTTTAACAATGGGTTAAACGTCCATCTATTAATACTAGTGATGTGCCGGGTACCCGGTTCGGACCCGGGGACCCGGCAATTCGGCTGTTTTACCGGGTACCCGGTATCGGCGATTTTGTTGCAGTACCCGGCACCGGGTATCTTCAAATTGATTTTTCTCTAAATTTAAACTTTAACCATTAAACTTCTTGATATAAATCTAAGAATGTTATGTAGTCGATAACCACAAAGTTCTATTAACTTAAAACAATCTCACTTAAAATAATTTTTAATACATTTTTGCAAAAAAATTTATACGGATACAAAAACTGAAACGCTAAATGAAATAATTCGAGACTACGAATAAAAATAATGAGAAAAAAAGTTTTAGAATAGCTTCTTTTTATTCTGTTAGAACACAAGATAATTTTTAGCAATTAAGTTTTGAATAAAACGCTTATAATGCTTTCGAACGCTGATACCACTTTTCATTCGCATCAAGCAAAAATCATAAAAGTAGAGATATTAGGTAAATATTATACACATTTTTCATATTTTAATTTCGATAATAATTATAATAAAATATTATTTAGGCCCGCTCCACCAGGTAAAAAAAATAACTTTAAACTAAATATAGTTATTTAAAAACTGTTGCACAACTTTTGAAAAAAGTTAGGCTCTACAACTCAGGCCCCTTACCGTGCATTGCGGGGTTTTGCTAAATAGTACTTCCGCCCCATAACTTTTGGTTAGTTAGCGTAAAAAGCGTATTTTGTGTGAATAGTTCAGCGCTTGAGATTTCACAAGTTTTTATTCTAACTTTTTAAAAACGGACTCGGTGCCGAGTACTCGGACTCGGACCAGGTTTTTTCAGCCGGGTACCCGGAATCGGAGACTCGGCATTAACTGGTTCCGGCACATCTCTAATTAATACGTCCTTGGTTGCATTGAGTGCGCCACGGCTGCTTATTTGATCCTAAAATATGACTTTAATTAAAAAACAAATAATTACATAGCCTGATTATTAATTTTGACCAGGATTCAGTGATTACAAAAAATAATAAAATAAAACAAAAGGTTTGACACGCTACTTTTTGTTTGAATTTGTACAAAGTTTGACACGCTACTTTTAGTTTGAATTTGTAACTATATATATATATATATATATATATATATATATATATATATATATATATATATATATATTATATATATATATATATATATATATATATATATATATATATATATTCTACTGAACATGCCACTCTACAATTTACAAGAAATATATCTGACTCACTTGAAAAATCTCAATTCACTTTAGGTGTTTTCATTGACTTGCCGAAAGCTTTTGATACTATTAATCACAAAATTCTTTTTAAAAAGTTGGAGTACGGAATTACTAAAAATTTATTAATATGGTTAAAAAGTTATTTTAATAATCGAAAACAATTTGTTTATGCGGATGATAACATATCATCTAGTATGTTAAGTATTTCATGTGGAGTTCCTCGAGGATCAATATTAGGACCTCTTCTATTTCTAATATATATTAATGATCTACCAAAAGCTTAAAATCTAATGACAATTATGTTTGCTGATGATTCTAGCTTATTTCTTTCTCATAATAACATTTCTACACTTTTTAAAAACATGAACATTGAACTAGTTAAAATTTCCGAGTGGTTCAGATTAAACAAACTCTCATTAAATATTGGTAAATTAAATGGATTCTTTTTCATTTTTATGGTAAAAACCACGAGCTGCCTAAAAACTTACCATTTCTTTTTATCAATAACACTTATTAAAAGAGTTTTAGTGACAAGATTTTTAGGTGTATATACTGATGAAAATCTCACATGGGAAAGCCATATTAATAACTTGTACAATAAAATTTCAAAAAGCATAGGCATTTTATACAAAATAAGAAACGTTCTTGATAAGCATACCTTAATTCAGTTATATTATTCGTTAATTCATTGCCATATTAACTATGCAAACATTGCTTAAGGTAGCACTTATAAAAGTAAACTTAAACCTCTTTATCGGCAACAGAAGCATGTAGCAAGCCTTATAAATTTCAAGGACCGTTTTGCTCACGCTAAGCCTCTTTTATATGAAATGAAAGCACACAATATATATGACTTAAATGTTTTTAATATTTTTTGTTTTATGTATAAATGCAAAGACCCACCTATCACCCGTTTCTTTTCGTAACCTGTGTTTACAAAACGATAGAAATAAATATATTTTAAGGAACGATAACTTATTTCGACAACCATTTTCTCAAACTAATTTCGGAAAATTTTTTATTACATTTTGCGGACCATTTTTATGGAATAGTTTAGTTCTAAATACTTCTAAAGATATTTTTCAAGTATGTAATTTCGATTCTTTAAACAAAATCTTAAAAAACTTATTTTTTCAACTAAAAATATACTAATCTACTTTTAAATATTTGAAATCTCTTTTTCAATTTTAATTTTCAAAATTATCAAATTTGTATTTGTATATATATTTTATATAATGTATATTCTTTTTTATTTCTTTATTAATTATTTTATCATTTAACATGTTTAATCTAGTGAATTATTTGACATGTTTTAGTTATTAAGTTTTGGAACTCTTCTATTGTAATATAGTATGTTTATTTTTAATTTAATTTATAAAATTAAATTGCTTTTTATTAATTTTGTAATAAAAAGAACTCTGATCTTTTAGAATTTTGTTGGTGATCTAATTAATATAGTTTTAAAATATATTTATGGTCTTACATTTATTTTATTTATAATTATTTTTTTATAATTACATATTATTAACTATGATATGAATATAATATAGTATGTTAAGTAATGATTACTTTCTTAATTAACAGTGTCTTTACAGCGATTTACAGATAGTTTTCACTTTCTTTGTAAAAAGTTGTTTTATTTCTAACATTTCATCAACACAGTTTAATTTTTTTTTTATTGTGATAAACTAATGAGCCATTAAAGTTTTTCGTTATGTTTCTATTGATAATTATATTATTGTTTAATGTTATAAGTAAACTGTTAGTTACAAGTAGAAAAGTTGCGGAGAAAACATAAGTTATAAAAATGTTTTTATACGCCGTCGCATTTTTTAAATCTTTTATCGTAAAACTGAAAATTGTGGAGATAAAACAAGATAATTCTAACGTCGCGAAATGTTGAAAGCTTCAGAGCTCTAGCTAGTTTAAAAGGTAGCAAAAAATTCAGCCGTAAGATTTCGTGACAACGCTAAGTCAAATAAAAAGCTTTAAAAAATAATACTCTATATTTAACTTTTTTAAAACACATTATGAAAGATTATTTATTTTAATTTGGTCCAATTAACTAAAATAAAGCAATCGTGTCTACAAATGTAGACAACTACAAAGTTCATTTGCATGAATCTAGCAGCAACCATATGATTGTTTCGTTTAATAATTGACTCTTTTAATCTGTAATTTAAATATAATATCAAGTATAAAAATAAATATTGCTACACACAATAAACCATAAAATAGTTTAAACTTTAATGAATTAGTTGTTGATTGGATATTATTTTCGCTGCACTTGTCGCTATCTATGTATGAGCAATCAAGTTCCCTTTTCCAATCTTTATACAAAATAGATAAATATCTATCTGGATCACGTGGTACATAAGTCATTATATTATCGAAATTTACATACTGTCCCGGAAAAAGATTTTCTAAAGGTTGCTTTATCCAATCATTATGTGGTATTTCAACTACAGCTGTATTTTTATGCTTTTTTATCTCAAAGGGCCAAACATCAATAAAGTTATGATTAAGTTCGCTATATCTTATCTTAAGTTTTAGTCCTTTGTCTGCAAAGATTGATTTGTGGCCATGTTTTATTTCTAGTAATTTTAAAACATTAAAAAACAATGTTGTATTCCAAAATGTCTTATCAACAATAAGATCAGCATCATTATCGTATGAAATCATTTTTCCATTTCGAGCCCATCCTAATACAGATCCAAATGCTAACATGTGGGGCACATGCAATAGTTTAAGCTTATTCGTAAAATGTTTTAAAATCTTCAAAATTTTTTCTCTACAACATGGAGGAGTGTTAATTCTTTTCATCAATGTAAAATTAAAATAAGCCGTCTCTTTGCATTGAGTTGTTTTTTTTGTGCAACCGTGATTTTCCACTGAATTGTTACTGTGTATTATACGCTTAACACTGTTACCTAAACATTTAGTTAATATACATATATATATATATATATATATATATATATATATATATATATATATATATATATATATATATATATATATATATATATATATATATATTATATATATATATATATATAAATATACTACTTAAATTGCGTGACATATATTTATATATTAAACATAATTTTGTTTGCTTACAAACTTGCAAACATGCATAAAAAAGAATTTACCTACATGAAGATATAAAAAACGTTAAAATAACACTATCTAAAAAATTTATCTTAACACAATTTTAACAGTGTTTATTAAATAATTATTTTTGAGTACCAGGTTGACATACTTTCAAAGAAATTTTTTTCAAATAGACAGACAGATTTCATTATTATTGTTATAATATTAATATAATAGTAAAAAGTGCTTTGCAAAATAGAAATAACCATTTTCGGGTTATATCAATACTTGTGTTTATACAAACTAGTTTATTTTTAACGTATCTACCTAACCTATCTCTGTTCTTCCTGTATTTTCAAAAATTTTAGAGAGAATCTTATATAACAAAATCAACACTCATCTTTCTGTAAATAACATTTTATTTAATAATCAATATGGTTTCAAAAAAAATAAATCCACAGAGCATGCAATACTTCAGTTTACACGTAATATTAACGAGACGTTTAATAAATCTGAATATACATTAGAAATTTTTATTGATTTATCAAAAGCTTTTGATAATATTGACCATTAAAATCTTATTAAAAAGCTCGAACTATATGGAATCACAGGAGTCGTTTTAAAATGTGTAAAGAGTTATTTAAATAATCGTGTTCAATATGTACACATTGACGATAATTCACCAAAAACGTTACTAAATGTTACTTCTAGCGTGCCACTAGATTCATTACTCGGACCTCTTCTTTTTCTTATATATGTTAATGATTTTCATAAAGAATCCAGCTTGAGAACAAAATTGTTTGCCGACGACACAAATTTATTTGTATCGCACAGCAACATTACTATATAATTTGAAATTATGAACACAGAACTTAAAAAGGTTTCCGACTGGTTCAAAGTAAATAAATCTTCAGTTAATATTGACAAAGCTAACTGGACTCTATTTCACCCACTTCAAAAAAAAAAAACTAATACCATACGAAACGCCATCTATATTCATTGAAAATATTCAAGTAAAAAGAGTAAAAACTACTCAGTTTTTACTCTACTTAACTAATCATTGTAATTTTTGCGTATCATTTCGCGGACCGTATCTTTGAAACAAAATTGTCTTAAATAACTTTGATTTTTCTTTTGAATGGAATTACATATCTTTTTAAAGAAAGTTGAAAGAAGTAGTTTTTGAAATCGACAATATATAAATGTACTTTTAAAACCTTTTGAAATTCTTTTTATCTATTTTTTTTTTCTTTAACATATTTCGCTGTTTATATAAAAATAAAATAAAAAAATTACAATGACAACTTTTACATTACACAAAGAATATATATGAAACAGAAAGGGGCTCAAAGAAGACACCAGTCATCTTTGACTGGTGTCACCAGATTGTGGTGACACCAGTGATCCTTGACTGGTGTCACCACAATCTTTTCATAGAGCCCTTTTACAATATCATTTGAAGCCCACATGGCTTTAGAAAATTTACAACAAATATTTTATCTGTTAAATACTATGTGAAGAATAAAGAAAATCTCATATATTCATATATACTCATATATACCTATACCCATAAAAACACACACATATACAACCATACTTACATATATGTCAGAAATTAAGGAGATGCAATTTCATTTGTCGTTTAAAAGAGAAAGTGCTTTTCAAATTTTTTATATTGTTATTTTTTAATTGATTCCACACTGTTAAAAATTCCCGTACTTTTACGGAATTATTTTCCGTTATTTGTACGGAAACTACCCATTTAACAAAATTGAACGGAAATTTTCTTTCTTTTAAAATAAATTTTGAAACAAGAAAATTTCCTTAGGAAAAAGGTTTTATTATGGAAGCTAAAGTAAAATTTTAACATACAAACTTGTCACATTAAATAGCAGTTTTACATTTTTTAGCCAGCGCGTTTTTTAAATATAACCAATTCTAGTTTATATGTATATATATATATATATATATATATATATATATATATATATATATATATATATATATATATATATATATATATATATATATATATATATATATATATATATATATATATATATATATATATATATATATATATATATATATATATATATATATGTATATATATATATAGGGCCGGCGCGAGTAGGTGTCACGTGGGAGGTGCCATTACAACTTTTGCCGACTAAGGGTCCAGTTTGCCGACTAAAAATCATTGATGGGGGGGGGATGACATCTCCCCCCACACACATCGCGCCAGTCTTACGTGGAAATATCCGTTTTTCGGAACCGATTTTTGTCCTAAAAAACTGTGCCACGTTTATTAGATTTTTTTTTTAACTAGCGTTGGGAAGACGTGTTTAGTTGGAAAACTCTTCAGAAATTGATATCAATATAGATTATTTTTAGAAACTAGAATAGTTAAACTTTATTACTGTGAGCTTTATTATTTTACTAGATGGCTTTTTTATTGAGTTTTCTGATGTCTAAAACTTTGTTGTACTTTGGGAGAAATTAATGTCAAAGATAAGCTCATTTTTTTTTCTATACTATGCTTTTTTTTATGTTTTTCATTTATCTATGCACCTGGAAAATTTCATTGAAAAAAAAGTTGTAGCAGGGTGTCTATTTTTTGTCGCACTTTTGGTACCTAATTTTCATTTTGCTGATGTGGTCGCGGGAGACAAAGGGGTTAAATAAACATTGTTTATATTTGATTTTGATTAAATAAAATCTTCAGTTTTTTTTTAGATTAAATAAAATGGAAAGTAAAGATATTGGTAAATGTTTAAAATATTGTTTCCTATTTATTAAATTTTTAAAAAAATTATTTGCCTTCAATGTAAAGTTATTAAAGTTTCACAACTTTACATTGGAGGCAAATAATTTAATTTAAATTAGTTTTAATGTTTCCTTACTTTGAAGTTAAATTTTTTAAAAATGTAACTGACATATTAGTAATATTAACATATTTTATCTTACATTGTAAGTCTCTCCAATAACAACTGCAATATACTACTACTTGTTGTATCATGCATCTTTTTCTAAAAAAGTCTAGACTTTTTTTTTTAATGATTAGCTGGTAATCTTTCAACTGTAATAAATAATATAAATAAAATATGGTCATATATAACTAATATATGTTAGCAACCTTATTCAACTTTTATGTATAATAAATGAAACGTAAATAATCAAAAACATTTGTTATATTGTTTTAGCTGCCCAAAGCTATCCTATGGCAGCAGCCAACAATATCAGTTAGTTATTTTAAAAACTCGATATTCATTAGTTTCTTTTAACTTAAGATCAGTAGATTTTTCGATTTTAATTTTTTAGATGATGCTTTTGAGAGGATCAGTCAGTTTTTTATTTGTGATTTATTATTTTAGTATTTAGTCTTTTGCTCTCATTATTCAATTATATATCTTTATTATGCTATGTTTTTTGTTCTGATTTTTGTGCATCCTTAAAGTTTTTTCGCAGTTTATTTTGTATATTCCTGATTGTTTCTTGCTTTTTATTGAGTCGTTGTTATTTTTTTTTCATAGACAATTTAAAACAAACTATTAGTAAGTAAAGTTTAAACTATTTTAGTTATTTAGTCATTTAAACTTTTTTTTTTTTTTTGTAATGTTAGTCTGATAATTTAATTTTATAATAAAGTTAGTATATTTAAATGGGCTTTTAGGTGAATTCAGACAGCAGATTTGTAAGTTTGGTAAATTTTAACAATTTTAATAGTATTTTTTAATGATTCATGCTAAGATTATAAGTTAATTGATACACGCTAAAGGTGTTTACTCTATTTATACACGCTAACTAAAGATGTAACGAAAAGTGTAACTTAAAATTAAGTTTATTTTAGTAAACTATTGTTATATTACTATTGTTACTACTTATTCCTTATAAATTCTTTAGCAACACCTACTTCATTTATTGGTAAGAGATTAATGTGTATTTTTATGTGTATGTATTGAGAAATATAGTTTGATTTTGTGTATTATGCAGTATTGTACTATTTAATATGTGCTATGTTATTGTTTCTTGTCATTTAATCTTTTGTGTCATTTTATTATTTAATCTTTAATATCCTTGTCATCTGTTGCAGCTGGTAAAGTTTCTATATTATGATATTTCAAAATTATATGGCAAAGTAATTGCAAGGTTTAGTTTTTTGTTCATTACACTTTTTTATTTATTTTTTTTATTTTTGAAGTGTCATCTATAGCTGTTCAAGCTGGTAAGGTTTTTTTTTTTTAACTTTTTAATATTTTTTTAATATTTAAATTTTAGTAACAACTTCAAGATTAATACGTGTACTATATGCTTCGATATTTTAAATTAATTTAAAAAAAAAATCATGCAATATATTTTATACAGATCCAACTGGTAAAGTTTATTTATTTTAACTTTGTAAAAAGTACTGCAAGTTTTGTGACTTGCTATGCATTTTTGATAGACGGCTCTTGCTTACCTTCACGTGGTGTCTATTGTTAAAAGTGATTATAAAATAATTTCATTAGTGGAATTTAAAATTGTAATCATTCACTAAAAGCCAAGACAAAACTTTATGAAATAAAGCATCATTAAAGAAATCAAACATTATTTAGTGTTATTAACATCTTATTTGTTTTTTAGTTTGAAACAGCCGAACCTTTCGTTAACCAAGCTACTACCAAGCACTATATGAAAGATTGGAAGATTTATAAAGGTTGGTTAATACTTTTTTTTGATTAACTTTTTGCTACTATTTACTGATAATAGAAGTCACTCAGTAATAAAAGAATATTTTAACAACTAATTCTCCAAATAATTGAAACGGTTTTTTTCAAAAAAAAAAGTTTACACTTTTTCAGGCGGGGGGAAAGGGGAATGGCCCCTCTTATTTGAAAATGGATGCAACACTAATGTAACTTTTGACCGAGTAAGATATATTTTTTACTTTTTTGTTGTTGTACTTTAAATACCCAATCAGATATTTCATAATTAAATTTTTTTTTGATATTAGAGTGTGTTAAAACATCATCAACACATTTAACATCAGTTTAATATTTACCTTTAATGTTTTGTAGTTGACCGGTATTAATTTATAGATCCTTTTTTATACAGAAAAAAACTTTGTTTTAAGACTTAATGAAAAGGGGGGTTAAACGCCCCTCCCATACATCAACGCCACTTGTATATTTCAATTCCTGTAAAATATAGTTTTATTATATATACTATTGATTTCAATGTAGTAAAGATAAATTTTTTTATGAAAACAAGTTATATTTGATTCTAGGGTGTATTAAACCATCACCACCGCACCCACCACCATCATTAACATATGCCTCTCATATCATCGGTAGTTTAATATAATTTATAACAACTTTTTTTGTATATTTAAATTACTTATGTCTTGAAAAAAAACTTTTTCTGAAAAAAATGTTCAGTTTCATTAGGGTAAGGTGGTGGTTTGGTTCCCGCTCTGTCCATCCGATACGCCCGGTGGTTAGATTTAAAAAAAATTTGTAGCCCACTCTTACACCTATCTTTTGACACCAAGATATTTGTATTTCGATAAGTATTAAGAAAGTTATGTCAATTTAAGTGAGGAAAAGCATAATTTTGACCACAGTTTCTTTAACAATTTCATATATCGAAAAATCGGTATTTAAACTGTCATAACTTTTCAACCAATTGTTTGACCTTTACAATACTGTATTGATTCTCTTTCCAATGATATATAACAGTAGAACATTTAAATAATTTGAAATTTTTACTTGCGTACCTATAAAAAGGTTACAAACACCGCAGTGTTGGAAACAAAAAATAAGACGTCTATAATATGTCTATTCTAAATCTAATTTAGCTTGTACAAAAGCAATTTTCTTGCTTTTGTACAAGCTAAATTAGATTTAGAATCCATATAGATTGAACAAAAAGCTGTAGACCCTTTTAGTATATTTGGTTAAGAAAGCCTAAAGTGTTTTAACAAGTGAAAAATGAAGACTCCTTCTAACTATTAAGATGCAATCTTTATAGTTTGAACTATAATCTTAACTTTATCTTCCATAAAGTTGTCTTCTATTTCACAAGCTTTAATTTTTACAGGTTCTTAATCTTTCAACTAAAAGAATGAGAATCTTAAAGAAACAGTTTTCACAGTCTAAATTTTAATTGTATATGAAAAGTAAATTTGTAATGCTGTATGGTTGCAGCGTTCTTTTAGAATAGTTAAACCTAGTATATTTAGTTTTTGATCGTAACTAAAGTGTTTATTTAACAATATTACACGTTCTTGTACATGTTTGAGGAAAAAAAAAAATTACCAATACAAAACTCTAGATGCCTAATAATAAATTAAATACAGAACGTTCAGTTTTCTTCATAGCTAGAGACCGCTGACACCAAAATTACCTCTTGAGAAAACCAAGCTTTTAATTGCCAACCCAATCTGCTGCTTCTACTTGTACTTTGAGTTTATTTAGTACTCAAAGGTTACGCTCAATGCATGTTGAAACTAGATTGCGTCCGTAACTGTAAATGTCAACCATGGTATTAATAGTTAGTTTTTGCGACAACCAACGTTGTACTTCTTGACTTTAAAAGTTACAAGGCAGAACAGTTGTACGAACAGTTTACAGCGATGTTGATGTCCGTCTACAGTTTTTCAGATTCAGAGGAAAATTCATTGACATCGATAACTCATGCAATCTTACCATTATTTGCGTATAACTTGGTATGTTTATAAATGCAGACTGGTAAGTCATTTAGGGAGAACATAAGCAGCAGTGATGTAAAAAGTGATGTTTGAGGGACGCCACTCGTCAGCCTTTGTCACTTAGAAGTTTTTTTTCTAACTATTACTCATTGTTGTTCATTAGCCAAATAGAAATACAGTTTAATAGCTGGCCTCAAATTTCAAAGGCATTAGTTTTACAGAGAGGTTGTTTTGTAACATTGTGTTGAATGGTTTAACAAATTCATATAAAGTTATGTCAACTAGTATCCTGTCCATGATAAACTGATTTGATTAAAATGATACGGGATTTAATCAGGATATAAGTGATATTTGTAATGTAAAAATTTATGTTGAGAATTTGGTATTAGATTTTGCACAGTTTTTCATCATCCAATCTAAGATAATTCTCTTCGTTACCATGCACAGTATTGGTGAGAGACAACAGCTAACAAACTTTAAAGTCAAATCTTATAACTGGTGTTATAAGTCATGACTTATAACACTAGTTATAAGTCTTGACTTTAAAGTTTTCTTTTTCAAGGGTAGGCGTGACATTTGACTTGCGTTGAGATTTTAACACTCCAAATAAAGTTAATTAATTTAGTTTTTTTTTAATTTTATAATTTAAAAATTGTTAATAATTTTTTTTTTGACTAATTATATAAGCATTTATAAGGTTTTTGAATAAAATGTTTTATTTGGATAAGATCTAATGTTCTCTTTAATATATATTTTTTTCACTTTTTTTATTTTTTTTTTTACTTTTTTGTAAAAAAAAAAATCGCTCGGAGCAAGTATGGACCTTTTCCCCTTCTCTCTCGGCGGCTCTGTCCCCTATATTTATAATTTAAATAAAACTCTATATCTTATGAGAATCATGTTTGTTACGATACAAATTAATCTTTATCAGACCAAGGACGTATTAATAATAGATGGACGTTTAACGTATTGTTTAAAAGCCGCTATTCATTGTTACAAATAACAATTGCAAAACAATAGGAACTATTTTTAACTTGAGAATATTTTTACTTGATTATACGTCAAAATAACGATAGTCTCGTCTAGCCTTAGAAATATTTAAACATTCCATTACACCTAAAAAATCTAAAAAGTTTTTAAATAAATAAAACATTTTCATTATATGATCTATAAACTCAAGCGAAATCTTTACATGAAAAAAAAACGTTAATCACAGAAAAACATTAAAACAAAATTGTAAGTGAGACAAAATTTCCGACAAAAATGAGAAGTTTAAACACTAAAAATAATAGTGAATACTAAGTGCAGGAGACCACAAGTAATCTATAGTTCGATCTATATATGATCTACAGTTTTACCTAAAACATCTAGAAAATTCGTTTCACTTTGCAGTATTCATTCTTGCAAACTAAATATCACAATGACAACCATAATTATTTCAGTGGGCATGACAACCATAATTATTTCAGTAAGTACTGGAGACAAATAATATTTGTCTCCAGTACTTACTGATGTAAAAAAGACGTCTTTTAAACGTCTTATACACGTTTCGGACGTCTTTTGAACGTTTTTTGAACGTTCCAAAGACTTTTTTTTTGGTTCGGTGCCCACTGGGATACCCCTAGTCGCCCAGTAGAGCGAAGGACTTGCGTATATTTTTTAAAAGTTTTGGTAAATTTTTAAATTAATTATTTTAACCCGCTGTCAAGATTATGTCACTATTCAATACGATTTTTTTGAAATATATAATATTATATATTTCAAATATTATATATATAATAAAAATTATTTGCGGTTTGCGTGTGGTTTTCATTCGTCTGCATGCTGTTTTTATTACGAACGACTAATTTTTGCTACTTGAAATTTAACAGTGTAAAAAAAATTTTTTTTTGCGGATGCCTCGCTAAAGTAAAAAAAAACAACATTTTGATAAATATTGTTGGTGCAAGTTACAACGATCATTATTTAATGATCGTTGTAACTTGCACCAACAATATTTATCAAGTTTTTAAATGTTATATATATCAACTATAAAAAAGAAAAAAAAAACATTAAAATTAATACTGATAGACAAATATTATTTAAACTATGGCTGTAATATAAAACCTAAAGTTAACCTTAAATAATACAAAAACTGTAAAGCCTTATGTTTTACATTTTGTTGCATAAATAAACAATTATAAAATGTTTTTAAAGATCTATGCACCTTTTAAGCAAAGAATAAATATTGTATAGGAGTATAATTTTTTAACCCAACTTTTATTTGTCAATCTCTTTTCAAGTTTTTAAAAATAAGTTAAAGAGTATTATTTTTTGAAGGGGTTATATATTAAAATATTTTTGCAAGTTTTAACCATTTAAAATTTCAAATACTTTATAATGTAATTATGGTATAAACCTCTTGTATATATTTATACTGAATTTTTATATGGTTCTGGCGACAAGATAAGTATGATCCTCTACCAGTTTCCAGGTTTATAACACGTGTTATATATATTCACATTTATATATATATATATATATATATATATATATATATATATATATATATATATATATATATATATATATAAATATATATATATATATATATATATATATATATATATATATATATAACAACATTGGAAGCAAAACGCGTGAGAGGTAAAATTATTGAGTTTTACAAAATCACAACTGGGATTGACAAAATATTATGATATAATGAGTTTCCTAAAGCTTTTTTCCAATTAAAAAATGTCCATAAAAAGTTTTAAACCCCCTAAAGTTGAGGGTGTTTCAAGTTTATAATGTTATGATTTTTAAAAAATTATTGTATGAAATTTAAAATTTATTAATAAATATATATTTAGGCAGACTAAAGCTGTATTATCTTTTTAAGAGTTTTTAATGTTTGGCATTTTAAAACGATATGAGCAATACTAATCAATTTTTAAATTTATTTTTATTAACTATTGCAGCAGATAAAAAAAGTTCATAGAACCTCCTTTTAAATTTTTTTTGCGGTATATCTCAAGGAAGTATACAAAACAGAGGAATGTTGTTTATACATTTAACTTGTATTGGAAACGCTTTTTTAACCGTAATTAACGTATTGTTTAAAATTTTCTATAAAATTAGGGCCCTAAAGTCCAAATTTTTTTAAGAAAGGAGGCAATGATAGCACTTAAAAAAACTCTACCATTACAAACTCGACTATAATTCAGCTGTAAAGTTTGCAATTAGTAAAAAACTATTTTAACGTTCAAAAGTTATGACCTCGTAAAGTTGACAACCCCCTCAAATAAGAGGGGGGGGGGGGGTTCAAACTTTCTTTGGACCTCATTTATGAACCTTAAAAAATTTTTTAAAATTAATTAGTTTTCCCGATAAATTTTTTTTTTTTTTTTAAGATTTTTTTTTAATAAATAAATAAAAAAAAAATTATTTCTAGTTTCTACATTTTGAACAATAGGTCCTGATTTTTCAGGTGAATGTTGTTCCCAGGCTATCGTTGTAATTTTTTTGTAAAACATTCTTATTTGAAACCAGTATCAATATTACAAAGTTTGAAGTTTGCCCCATTTCTGGAAGTTACCTATTTTGAACATCAAAAAAGGATGACCTGCCAGTTTAACCCCCCTTTTTTTGAAAGATGTTGACAGAATATTTTTAAAATCTAGGTCATAACAGAACAAGGTACTGTGGCTTCGTAAATGTAATCCGTTTCTGGTGTACTTTCTTTTTCGTAAGAAATATATCCACTAGGGTGTGACAGCTAAAAACCTTACCTTTTAACAACTTGTTTAATTCATTTTTGCATTCAAGTTCATTAAGAGTTTTATTTTTTTCTGAAAATGTTTCGTTTAATGTCATAAACTTTATTGTCCATTCTGAAACATCATACTCAAAGCTTTTACAAACTAAACTCATATCTTTTAAAACATTCAATTTTATATTGGTTGATAATAAATGACTTGGTCGTTGTATACTTAAAAAGTTAGAATTATTTCCCCAAAAGTATAAACTACATAGCAAATACATACAGAATAGAGCAAAAATTTTTACAAATATTTTACTTTCCATTTTTTGGTAACAAACAGCCAAAGTTTTCTATATAGTATTAAAATACTCCATAAAGGTATCTGTTTACTTTTAACACAAGACAAGTAAAATATTTGCTCATCTAACACAGTGATTTAAGCCAGTTTTTTTTACTGAGAGAATTGCACACTAGTTTGTACAACTACTTAACATTTGATACAACAATCGAATTAGTAATCGTTTCATGTTATTGCTTAATAATCTGTTAATATCTGTTTAATCAGAAAATGAAATTAAAACCTTTGCTTCATCATCTTAATTATTAAGATTGAAAACTTTTCAATGATTGACTTATGTTATTTTTAAATTAGTATTAAATTATGTTATTTTTAAATTAGTAAGTCAGGTAATTTATTTTGTGCATTATAATAATAACAAAATTCACGTCCTTTGTCAATTGTATTTAAAGTATATTAATCTGAAATTTAACAAAAATTATATTTAGTTAATTAATTGTATTTAATAAAAAATTAGAAAACAATGATGACTCTAAAAGACGATGCTCTTTTCAAAGGTCAAAAAGTTAAATTCTTCATAAAGTTAGTGTTTATCTCCAAAACCCTTGCATCTCACACGATCAATTCTTTATATTTTGTGTGTAAGTATCTTTTATATATATGAAATGTTTTTAAGTTTGTGATGTGTTATCTATTGTTAAAGGTTTTGTTGAGAGCAAGAATGTTGTCCTTGCCAGTAGATTGGTGTACTGTCATAATAAAACACATAAACTAAATCTGTTTCTAATTAGTGTATTCATAAAATGTGTTGAAAAAATATTATTGAATTAATGTGTTTTAAAGAAATGTTAAAAAGATATACAATTTTTTAATATTTATACTTTTTTAGTATATATAATTTTAAGTAATTTTTATTGAAAAGATATATACTTAATTAAATATTTATAAAATGTTGCTTTTTAAGTAAATTTTTTTTAAAAAATAAATGTTCTGATCTTTATTTGTTAACAGTTTGCATTTTATTAACCTAAAAAAATTTGTTCAAAAGATATTAACTCTGTTCTTTTTTTAGGGGTGGGAGTTAAGGTTAGTTTTAGTCTAACTAAAAATACCCAACTAGATTTTTAGTCTAACTAAAATTAGTCGACTAACTTTTTAGTTAACTTAATTTACCCAACTAACTTTCTAGTTTTTTACCTGATTAATTTTTTAGCTTACTAAAATTTTTCGACTAACGTTTTAGTTAACTCAAATAGATGATTAAGTATTTAGTGCAACTAAATTTAGTCGGCTAAGATTTAGTGCTTGAAAAAAGAAATAATCTTTAGCATAAAAATTTTTACACACGAGGAAGCTTTATTAAGGCAATAAATATTATTTTATTGTAATAATACACTTTACTAATTTTTTTTTTTTTTTTTTTTGTTCTTTATTACAATATTTAATACAATATTTACAAATAAAAATTTACATGCAAAAAAATCGTTACAAAAAAATAAAGAATTAAGATAAAGAACGCGGATACTCAAAGAAGACCATATAGGTCTTGTCACCGAGAACCGCTTTTAAAGAACTTTGAACTTAGTTTAGATTTTAGGAAAAACAAAAATAAATAAACACAAGTTTTTAACTTTTTTAAGTTATGGTCTTTATGGCTGGAATAAAAATACTAATTCTTCTGAACCGGATGATTCAAGCGAAAACAATAATATCATAGTATTCTTAATAAATAAATACGTCTCGCATCTGACTCGATCACTGATTCTTGTTACTCAAATCTATCAGTTACACTGATCTTAATTGTTAATTAATTAATAAATAAATGAAAATAATAAGAATATGATTGCACTAGGTACATCCAAATTCACTTCAAGATTGTCCAAAAGATTGTGTAGAAGAATTTAGATAGCTAAATGATGGTGTCATTGTGTGAGAAGCCAAAATTATCAAATGGTAGTGCATTTACGTTAACGCTTTCGCCGACAAAAATGCTAAACCACTGTCAAAGGATGATTAACTTCCAAAAGTATCATACATACAATGTTTACAGATACATCCAGTCACATACATCAAATTTTTTTTTTTTTTTTTTTTTTTTTTTTTTTTTTTTTTAATAATAATATATATATATTTTTTCATTACAAAATTAAATTCAATATTAAAAGTATATACCGTTCGTAATACAAATTATTTACAAAATTACAAAATAAAATAAAAATTAAAGTAAACAAGTAAATAATAAATGACTACTGTACAAATAATGTCAGTGGAACTTTTAACAAAATTCAAATAATGATGTTTAACTACAGTTTCTGACATAAACTTTAAATCAATATTGTATAAAAGTAAAATATAAATGAGTGATGACAAAACTGGGTAAAATTAAAAGAATATAAATATATTTTCAATTGAGAATATTACTTTTTTTAGTTTTCTTTTGAACATATAGTAATTCCATTCATGAGAAAAATCAAAACTCTTTAAAATTATTTGGTTCCATAAAAAAGCTCCACGAAAAGAAATGCAAAATTTACCAAAGTTTGTTTGAAATTTTGGTTGTTTAATAAAATTATCATTTCTTAAAGGATATTTGTTTTTTTCTTTTAAAGAATATAAATCAAAAAAGGAAGCTGGAGAAGAGTTGGTTTTACATTTAAACATAAAACAAAGAACATTATAAACATTTACTTGATATATATTAAAAAAAATCATGTTAAATAAAAGTGGCCTTGAGTGAGTAAAACGATTTTTGAAATTTATAATACGTGCAATATGCTTCTGCTGACAATAAAGTGGTTTTAATTTACTTTTATGGGTACTACCCCATGCAATATTAGCATAATTAATATGACAATGTATGAAAGAAAAATATAGTTGAGTTAGTGAATGTTTGTTTAAAACGCTTCTTGCTTTATATAAAACTCCAATGTTTTTTGCAATTTTGTTGCATAAATGTCCGATGTGATTCTTCCATGATAGATTTTCATCAACAATGATACCTAAAAAGTTTGTGAAAACTACTCTTTTTATTTGAATATTATCAATATGAAGAAGAGGCATATTACTTGGAAGTAAATGTTTTATAAATCGTGGATGAAAGAAAATCCATTTAGTTTTATCAATGTTGAGTGAAAGTTTATTTAACTTAAACCAGTCAGATATTTTTATTAGTTCAATGTTCATATCATAAAAAAGTTTGTCGATGTTATTATTTGATAGGAATAGGTTTGTATCATCAGCAAACATTATAGTTGTTAATTTTGAGACTTCATGGAGATCGTTAACATAAATTAGAAATAATAAGGGCCCTAGTATAGATCCCTGTGGAACTCCACAGGTTATATTTAGATAATCTATATTTAAATAATCTTGTGAAGAAGATCCGTCGACATAGACAAATTGTTTGCAATGTTTTAAATAGCTTTTTAGTAGTTTTAAAGCATTACCGATGATACCATAATGTTCAAGTTTTTTAAACAGTATTTCATGGTCAATTGTGTCGAAAGCCTTAGATAAGTCTATAAAGACGCCTAAAGTGAACTCTGACTTTTCGAAATAAGTTATACTACGAGTAAGATGAGCTATTGCATGTTCAGTAGAGTTATTTCTTTTAAAACCATATTGGTTTATGTAAAGTATATAATTAATAGCAAGATGATTAGATATTTGATTAAACAAAATTCCTTCTAAAATTTTTGAAAAAAACAGAGAGGATAGATATTGGTCGATAATTACTAACATTTGACGGTTCACCTCCTTTAAATACAGGCGTTATTTTGGCTATTTTCAATTGATCAGGGAAAATTCCTTGATTAATAGAACATTTAAAAACTTTAAAAAGAATATGTTTTATGGTATCGTATGAATCTATGACTATATTACAATTTACATCATCAGGACCTACTGCTTTATTAGTTTTAAGCATTTTAAAAGCACTTTCAAATTCTGAAGAAGAGACTTCAAATTTATTTAAACTAGAGATTAATGGAAACACGTAATCATTTATTGGATTAATCATATTTGGAATATTTTTAGCTAAGTTTGGGCCAACAGACACGAAATATTTATTTAATTCTCTTGCAATTTGTTTGGGTTCATATAACCATCAAAATATACCATCAAAATATACCATCAACTTTTATTGTGTTAGGTATAGAGCATAATTTTAATTTACTATTTCTAGTAATTTGACTTATAAGTTGCCATTATTTATACCATATATATTATCCATCCAGTAATTTGACTTATAAGTTGCGTTTTGAATTATGTTTATATTTTTCTAGTAAATCATAGTAATATCTTTTTTTAAATTTTTTTCTTTGACTTTCAAACATTTTAGCATAATTTTTATAAATAATTTTATTTTCTGGTGTTTTTTTAAGTACTTTATATACAGTTTTTGCTTTCTTTTTGAGGATTTCCTAAGATCTTTATTGACCCATGGTGACTTTAAACTTTTATTTGTTATAATAAACTCACGTTTTGGAAAATTTACATCATATATTTCATAGAAAGTTTGAAAGAATGTATCGTATACTTCATTAGCTTCAAACGAACTGTTTATATGATTCCAATTTGTTAAAGATAATTGATCCTTAAACGACGCAAGATTAGCATCGGTGAAAAAGCGTTTGATAATGACTTTTTTATGTTGTTGTATTAATTTGTTGTCAATATTAATAGAGAAAAAAATAGGGAACTGGTCGGAAACGTCACTTTTTATTGTACCTTTTTTAAGAGTTTCATTGAAGATATCAGTTGTTATAATGTTGTCAATTAAGGTAGCTGAAGTTGAGGTTACTCTAGTAAGTTTGTTAATTAGTGGAATTGATCTATGTTCGAATAAGTCATCGTAAAACTATTTAATGTTGCTATTAACGTGATATTCAAAACAATTTAAATTTACGTCACCAATTAGATAATTTAGTTTTTTTTCATTAAAACTATTTTTTAAAATATCATTACACAAAAATGCATTAAAACTTTCAATATGGCCAGATGGTGGGCGATAACAGCAGCTTATAAGTATGTTTTTAGAATTATTGGTTAAAAGTTCAATTGTTAAAATTTCTTTATTGTCATCAGAAATACTCATCTCAGGCCTAGTAAAAAACCTCAAATTTTCTTTAATATAAAAAAGTACACCACCTCCGCGTTTATTTGCTTTACGCGCTAGTGGGATCATATTAAAACCTGGAAGATGGAGATTTAAATTAGATTTAGTGTCATCAAATTCACACCACGTTTTAGTTAAGCAAATTATACTAAATATATTTGAAGTTTCCTCTATTATAGTACGAAAATTTTTAAAGTTTTTTTTGAGACTTCTAATGTTAAAATAAATAACATTTAAATGATCCCGAGAAATAAATTCTTTTATTTCTTTGTTATAGAATTGTGAATCCTAGAGCCCAGTCGAATTAAAATGTTATTCAAAAAAAATGTTTAAAGCAAAATTTGATTATTTTTATTTTTCCCAACTCGGAGACAACTGCTTATGAGGTTGTTGCAACTGTTTATAAACACCCAATCAGCATAGAATGTACAAATAATGCCTTTTAGTCAATTAAATTAAATTTGGTACGTTTATTAAACTTTTAACTTACATTTTTTATGTGCTGCGTCCTATAGGTAGTGTACAATAATAATCGCAGATCAAAAGTAATCTATCCTACCTAGGCCGTATCGACGGGGGTGTAGGCACCTTCCCAAGTTTACAATATTCTGTCGGTTTTGTCAGTAATTTAGAAAATTTGAGATTTGGTTGGTTAATACTGAAATTCGGCTTCTAAATTAAAGAGAAAAAGAAAAAACCAACTTTGGTGAAATTTTTATGGTAAAAAACCTTTTTTCATTTGCACACACCCCCTCCACGTTTTCGTTGATCGGTACAGCCCTGTTCAGTGCCATATTATAGGAATGGGTTCAATCTCTAATTTTCACAATAAATCTACGACTCCCCCTCCCCATCACGTTAAATATCAACCTCCCCTAACAATTAATAACTATTTCAAATACATAAAAAAAAAAAAAGTAAAAATAAAAACAACAGAAAAACAAAATATAGTAGACTGAAAAATGCAGTAAAAAAAAAAAATTAGAAACAATGCAGTAGAAACATTTGGCACCAGCGTTGCCAGATTTTTTTTGCGCTAAAATGCCAAACGCTTGTCTAAAAAATGCCAAATAATGCCAAATTTTTATTAATAATGCCAAAAAAAATACCAACTTTTAAAATAGCAGAAAAACTTAATAAAAAAACATTGAACCCTATTTATTAACTATATATTCAATAAAACTATTTTAAAAGTCATATATTAATCAGTTTTAACATATTTTTTATATATTTTTCAATAAAAAAACGACGTTTAACATAGATTATTTATGTATTTATTAAATAGATAAGTATGTTCACTCAACTTTCAAATAAATATAAATCTAAAGTTAAAAAATATGAGTTAAAGAAAATTTCAAATTCTGTTAAAAGAATTATAAAAAATGTCTCAATATCAAACTTCCTTTAGTTTAAATCATCAATTAGAGTGAGATCGTCTTCGACTAATTCATCATCGTCAGAATACATGTCTGTTCCCAATTTAGTTAACATTTTGTCACTGATTTTAAAGTCTTTACAACATTTTTTGCGGCTAGCAAGGTAGGCTTTTACTCGCACTACACTGCTGAGCAATTTGTCTGACATTCTGTTTCTTGGTTTGTTTTTAACAAAGGTGACCTGAGAAAAAATACGTTCTACAAAAGCGTTTGATATAGGGAGAACAAGACAAGTTAGGCAATAGTCTGCTAGTTCCTTAAATGCTGCATCTCCTGATGTATTTTTGTAGTGGCGAACTGCAGTCCAGAACTCAGTTGTATCTTTTGGTATACAAGAATTTTCAAACTGCTCCGTAGAAGACCAGTCAACCAAACTTACTTTTCTGTACTGATCTTCAATGTTTTGCGCTTTATCCTTCATAATATGCCTTAAAGGCAGATGAGTGAATGGCATTTTAGAATTTTGAAGCAGAACCTTTGATGGTGAGAGATAAGATAGACCTTGAAAAATTTCTTTGTTTTCAAGTAGACGTTGATCAGGCTCTTTCAAAAGACGCAAAAGAAATTGAAGGCAACGTGTTAGAACACTTTCAATGTTTTTTCTGGCAATTTCTTTTTGGGTTTGAGGATAAGTATCAATATATTTTTGGCAATCTGATAAAACTTTGCCCCAAAGTCAACACGTTTTAGAGGCAGTTGAACTCCTTGGTTGTCAAGAACACGCTGTTGTAGACTTTTGTAGTGTAGGTTTAGCTCTGAAACTAGCTTCTCAGGATCCACATTAGTGCTTTGAAAAAGAGCATTCAAACGCTCAAATTCTTGAACAATTGGTGTCCAAAAGACGACATAAAGATAGAGAGTTTCATCTTTGAACATGTTGTTAATTGTTGTAACTCTATACCTAATGCATGCAGGAGCTCGAGCTTCAGCACATAAGAAATAGGCTTTTAATTCGTACCAATTCATCATCAAATTGTAAAGACATTTCCCTCTGACGAGCCATCGAGTAGCTGAATACTTTTGAAATGGTGATGGAGTTCCCATCCTTTCATTGCTTGGATCCATTGTCTGAAAAAGTACTTTAAACTCTTCTCGTCGAATGGAACTTTTTGAAAAAAATGAAGGAATTTCACTGAGCAGAAAGCCAACACTTGATGGCATTAATTCAAAGGAATGTTGAACAATGAGGTTCAAGGAGTGGCATGTACAGCGCATTAAAATACAATTAGGAGAGACTGCCCGAACACGAGACCAAACCGAATTGTGAAATCCAATGACATTTGAAGCTCCGTCTGAGCTATACCCAATGCAGTTTTTTAAAGACAATCCAACAGACGTCAACTTTGTTTCCAAAACAGCAAAAAGATCTGCACCAGTGGTTGATATCACAGCAGCTAAACCAAGAATGTCATCGATAAATGATTTCTGTTCATCTGAATAGTATCGAGCACAAATGCAAA